AAGTCACTTAACCCCGATTACCTCACTAAAAATTAAAAAAAAAAAGAAAATTGCCTGTTTATATCATTTGCAGAATTTATCAATTGGAGAATGGCTCTTGTTTTTATAAATTTGACTCATTTTTCTATATATTTATCATGGAAACTTGCTGAAAAATATTCCTTAGTTTTCTGCTTTCCTTCAAATCTTGGCTGCATTTGTTTTGTTTGTGGAAAACCTTTTAAATTTCATGTACTCAAAATTATTACTTCCCATAATGTTCTCTATCTCTTGTTTGGTTGTAAACTCTGCCCATTTTCATAGATCTGAAAGGTAAAGTTCCCCATGCCCCATTAATATGTTTATGATATCACCATATATGTCTAAATCATGTACTCATTTTGACTTTATCTTGGTATACAGTATAAGATGTTGATCTATGCCTAGTATCTTCTAATATCTTCCAAACTGCTTTCCATCTTCTCCAGCTATTTTTGTCAAATGGTGAGTTCTTGCCCCGAAAGCTTGGATCTTTGCATTTATCAAACATTGGATTTTTAGGATCATTTATTATTATGTATCATGTGCCTAATCTATTCTACTGATCCACCACTACTTCTTAGCCGATACCAGAGTGTTTTGATGACTACTGCATTGTAATATAGTATGAAATATGGTGTTGCTAGGCTGCCTTCCTTCACTTTTATTCATTGATTCCCTTGATATTCATGACTGTTCTTCTAAAGGAATTGTTATTATTTTTATATATTTTTATATATTTATTATATATCATTATATTTTATTATTTTTTATAATTTTTATTTTTATTTCAATATAACTAGTTTCCTTCACAATCCTATCTATTATGTTTTAGGCATTTAAAAACATTCTGAAAAGAGCCAAATAGGCTTTAGCAGACTCCCGAAAAGGTCCCAAAAAGGTTAAGGACCTCTGAACTATACAACCTCTAAATTTGCTTCTTGCTCTAAAGTCTATGATCTTTGCAATTTGAATATTAGTCCAGAGGCACATCAAATTAACTGAATAATAGCCATAGTGTGATCTTGGCATTACTAATCCTGGATCTGCAGTCCTAGCTCAGGCAGAATTCATAAGAGGATAATTTGTTCTCAGAGTAACTATGGTCCATTGAATATTTATGTAGTATAAGTTCCATGCAGAGAGATTCTGGTTCATTAAAAACAGTTTTGCCTGGACACACTGCAATTGAAAAATTCAGCAGTCAATTTATGCTACTTCCCTCAAAATAAAAGGCCAGTTTTCTTTCCAAGGCAATATATTAGGCGAGTTATTGCCTAAGATTAAGCTACTGCAATGATAATACCTTGTAAATGAATAGTGCTTTCAAACTTCCAAAACATTTTCATGCCCATTATACCACTGGATCCTTTTAACTCCAACTATGAAAAATGGGTAGCATTGTTATTCCTATTGGAAAGACGAAGACACTGATGCATAGAGAGGATTTGAAGTTAGGGAAATTAGGTCCCAATATTGACTTTACATGATTTAGGGTGATGGACTTGGGGTCAGGAAGGCCTGGCTGGGTTCAAACGCCACCTCAGACACTAGCTGTGTGATCCTGGATAGATGAGTCATACAACCCCTCAGTGTCCCATAAAGCCCTCTAAGACTATAAGTTATGGATGAGTTGCCAATCTCTATTAGTTATGAAGGAATGAATAAAGGAGTGTAAGCGCTTACTATGTACTAAGTGCTAGGGATGCAAATAGACAAAGCAGGATAGTCTGTACTCTGGAGGAGCTCATGCTCTAAGAAGAAATTGTAGTGCAGTGGGGAGTTCGAGGCCTGCAGGACACAAAAGGCCAGAAAAACTACACTCCTGCCTGAACCAGATTACAATGTGATTGGGGGATATTTAAAAAAAAATTTTAAATACAATTCAACATAGATAATGTTAATTTGTGGTTTTCTAAGTCAATATGCAGTGCAGGGATATGTTTCTATTTACACCATTGGAGTGGCAGATAAAATCAGTCACTGAATTTGAAGATAGGAAGACCTAGGTCAAAATCCTGCCACAGACATTTACTACCTGTGTAACCTTAGTTTACTTAACCTCCTCATATCTTTTCAGTCTTCTTACATCTTATTCTACCACCATCAACCCCCAGTGATCCAGTGACAGTGGCCTCCTTGCTGCTCCTCAGACCAGACTCTCTCTCTCCTGACTCCAGGCATTTCCTCTGGCTGTCTCCCATGCCTGGACTGCTCTGCCTCTTCACCTCTGCCTCCTGACTCTCCTGACTTCCTTCAAATACAAACAAAAATTCCATCTTCTATAAGAAGCTTTACTTGATTTCCCTTAATAATTTCCCTTCCTTCTATTCATTATTTCCAATTCATCCTATATGTAGCTCGTTTGTATATAATTATTTCCATGCCATCCTCAATTAGACTGTAAACTCCTTGGGAGCAGGGACTACCTTTTTTTTTTTAAAGGCAATTGGGGTTAAGTGACTTGCCCAGGGTCCCACAGCTAGTAAGTGTCAAGTGTTTGGTCTAAGGCCAGAACTGAACTCAGGTCCTCCTGTTTTCAGGAGCAGGGACTATCTTTTGCTTTTTTTGGTGCCCACACACTTAGCACAGTGCCTGGTGCATAGTAGGGGTTTACTGAATCCTTATTGGCTGAATAATTTCACTTCTCTGGGTCTCAGTTTCCTCATTTATAAGAACTCACACTCTGTGCTTCTGCGACTTGCCTAAAATCACCCAATTAATTAGTGGCAAAGTCATTTGGTGCTCTTTCCACTAAACATCATTGACCATACTTGTGCAGTGCTAAAGAACAGAATCGTGTAAGCAAGACTTATTTTCAAACACACTTCTCCAGGTGTTGCTTGGAATAAGAATTGCTTGGCGGTTTTTACAAAACAAGCTTAGTTCTATAAAACTTTCCCTTAAAAGCAATTAAGAGAATATCAATTGAAATAATTAAAACTAACCAAAAAGAATAGCTCAGATTTATTTATGTAATACTTTATATTTTAAAATAATTTTGTATACATTTTCTGATTTTATTCTCAGAACAACCCTTTCAGATAGGGAATAGGGGGATATTATTATTCCCACTCCATAGAAGAGGAAATTAGGGTTCAGAGAGGTTAATACTTGTCCAGAGTCATGAAACAAGCAATAAGTAGAAGAGAATTTAGTCATGCTAAGAACGTAGATCTTCTGACTAGTCCAACTTTTTTTTTTTATAGAATACAGTGTCCCTTAATGTAATCTATCTGCATACTAACTTCACTAGCCCATCATCACAAACACTATTAATAGTTAGCATTATCACTAATAATATCCAGCCTTCAAACAGAAAAAAAACAAAGCCTCTATATAAACTGAAATATTTATAGCAGTATTTTTTATGGTAGCAAAGAACTAGAAACTACGCAGATGTCCATCCACTGGGGAATGGCTAAACAAATCAAATGGAATGGAATATTACTATGCTACAAGAAATGGTAAATACAATGAATAGAAAATCATGGAAAGGCTTGTGTTAACAAATGCAAAGTGAAAATCCAGTGTAGTATAGTGTTCTGGGCACTGGACTTTGAGTGAGAAAGATCTGGGTTTGAATCTTGCCTCAGATACTAGCTACGTGACTCTGGGTGGCTCAGTGTCTCATTTTGTCTGTTGCTCAGTTTTCCCATACTTGCTTCCAATCTTTGCTTTACTAAGATTTGGAAGCATTCTTTACATTTACTCTGTTTTGTTTTGTTTTGTTTTTTTTGTTTTGTCTTGTTTTGTTTTTTGAGGCAATCAGGGTTAAGTGACTTGCCCAGGGTCACAGAGCTAGTAAGTGTCTGAGATCAGATTTCAATCCAGGTCCTCCTGATTCCAGGGCCAGTGTTTTATTCATTGTACCACCTACTTGCCCCTATATGTACTCTTTTATATGGCCTGCCTTGACTTTTTTGGATACTCCCTAATTTAACATACAATTTAGTCCCCACTAAATCTGGGCCTGGTGAGATAAGGCCTGATGAATCGAGGTCATCTAGAATGGAGGTATTACTAGAAAAAAGGAGGCATCTTTCAGTTGTTAACATTTTTGGACCTCCTCAATTCAAATCTTACCGATTCTGTAAAGGGACAAGGACTTCAGTGACTGCCAAAACTTTCACATGACTTGGAATAAGGATGGTGAGAATCTGCTTCCAACCCTCAGAATGAGTCAACTATAAAGATTCTAAGAAAAATAATCTTATAAAGAAGAACAATTTGAATAGAACAGATCGGAAAAGGGAAGAGGGAAGATTCACATGGGATTGTCTCTCTTCCCTTTATGTCTTCTCTCTTTCCTCCAGAAGGCAGTGGATCACTATTCTTTCTCTCTACCTAGGTGCCAATCAGTCAATCAACACACGTGGTAAGCCCCTACCACATACCAGGCATTGTGGCATTGGAAATTTGAAGACTAAAATTAAATAATCTCTGCTCTCAGGAAGCATATATTCTATCAAAGAGGACAGTAAGTCCATAAATAAATATATGCACAATACATAGAAAATGAAAACAAGGATATTTTTGAGGGGAGGTACTAGTTTGACAGTCAGTCAGCCAATAAGCATTTGTTAAGCACCTACTATGTGTCAAGTACTGTGTGCTAAGCACTGGAAAATACAAATGAGACAAAAGACAGACCCTGCCCTTGAGAAGTTCACAATCTAATAGGGGAGACAATAAGCAAATAAATATGTACAGACAGGCTATATATGAGATAAATTAGAAATAACTGAGAGAGAGAAGGTACTAGATTTAAGAGGGATTGGGAAAAGCTTCCTGTAAAAGATTGGATTTTAGTTGGGACTTGAAGGAAGCTAGTAGGTGTTGATGATGAGGGAGAACATTCCTGGCATGGGGGACAGACAGAAAAAAAGCCCAGAGCCAAGAGATGGAGTGTCTTCTTTGTGGAACAGAACTGGCTGGGGGATTAGGAAAGGATTTATATAGTAGGTAGCGTCTGAACTGAGCTTTGAAGGAAATTAGAGCTCTCCTTTGGGGATCACTGGCTTTCTTTTCTGGTGAACAGCACAGAACCTGGCGCTGGGACAGGTAAATAAATTCCTTCTTTTTTCACAGGAATGCTTTTGTGTTTATGTCTTTAGAGTTATTGCTAAAAAATGTATTCTCAATTTGCAGAAATCATTTTTGGTGGATTTATATGTTAATATGGAGCTAGAAATGTACCTGAAAGTTCATGTGCTTACCAGCCATCATCAAATACTTCTCTTTTTCTCTCTCCACATACATAATAAGATATACACTCGTTGTGCATACATATACATGTGTATATATATATCCGTTCTCTCTCTCTCTCTCTCTCTCTCTCTTTCTCTCTCTCTTTCTCTCTTTCTTTTTTATTCTATCAGCCCAGTATAACATACTACTGACTACTTCCTAAAATATTCTGGGAGCTATGAGAAAGGATAGCTAATTAACCTCCAATCTCATTACCAGGGAGTATAGATAAAAGTCTAGCAAAGAATCTGTGCATGAAGTTTTAAACAGTAATTATAGGGGCAGCTAGGTGGTGCAGTAGATAAAGGACCGGCCCTAGAGTCAGGAGGACCTGAGTTCAAATCCGACCTCAAACCAAACATTTGACACTAGCTGTATGACCCTGGGCATGTCACTTAACCCCAATTGCCTAAAAATTAAACAGTAATTATATTACTATTGGTAGTGGGCATGTATATTGTCTGGAGCAAACTTTCATGAGTTTTGCTGAGTTCCAAGGACCATTAACTGTCCTTTATAATGGTTAAGGATGGTCATCAATCAGTCAATAAGGATTTTTTAGGTACTTACCATGGGCTTGGCTCTGTGCTAAGTAGTGGGAATACAAAGAAAGGGAAAAAAAATAACCTCTGCCCTCAAGGAGCTCACATTCTATAATAAGGGAGAATCTGTAAACAACTAAGTATATAGAAGATATATACTAAGTAGATGGAAGTTTGTTTTTGTTGTTGTTCAGTCCTATCTAACTTTTTATGACCCCATTTGGAGTTTTCTTGGCAAAGATACTGGAGTGGTTTACCATTTCCTTCTCCAGCTCATTTTACAGACAAGGAAACTGAGGCAAACAGGGTTAAGTGACTTGCCCAGGGTCTGTAGTCAAATTTGAACTCAAGTCTTCTTGACTCTAGTCTGGTACTCTATCCACTGTACCATCTAGCTGCCCTAGATGGAAGGTATTACCTCCAAATAGCTTTAGGGATCTTCCCAAATGACTAGGTTTAACTGTTTGTTATATTAAGTTTCTAATTTCCTGCAAAGGACCCTGGACAACAGGAATCAAGATATGTGATTTGAAATCTTAACTTTATCACTCTTGCAAAGAAGTGGAGAGCTTTATGCCTCTGAATCCAATTGTATGCATACATATACACATGTAAGTGTCTGTATACAATTGGATTCAGAGGTAGAAATAATAATTTTACATACACATATATACGTATACATACACACACAATGGTACAAGATCAGGATGCCCTCAGTGGTTGACTGAGGGCAATGATATGGAACAATAACTTAAGAATTGCATATACACAGAGCTTTGCTTATTTATACTGACTGGTGGTACTTTCAACCAACTTTATCCATAATGGATAACACATGAGGGGAATAACACATATGAGAAAAACATATCAGTCATATGGTTCAGCCATAGAGATCAGGAATCTGAGTGAAATACCTTCTCAATGAAGTTGGGCCAAATTATTTGTTCCACCTTCCTTACAAAGTACAGAACATACTGTATAGATTAATCAAATTCTACTTCCTTACTATTTCCTACTGGGCAGCCTTGTCCATACCATAGTGGAATGCCATTCCAAAATTTGTGGTTTGTCTAAAACCAAGTTACTATTGGTACAGTGAGTGGTTTGGGTTTTTTTAATGCTATGCTGAACAAAATGTAAATACTAGAAGGTACATTTGACTGAGCCCATGGGAAAGCAAGAACCAGAGACACACCCACCTGAGTACATATACAAACATTATACACACATACATGTGTGTGCACGTATATGTGTACTTAAACTGGGAACAAGTACCAGAGAAGACATTGGGTGGGCTGTATTTGTTTTGTAAATTCATTTCATGAATTTGGCCCTTTATTATAAAGATCTCAAAGGGCTTTTTAAAGAATTCAGTTGCAAGGATCCTTGACCTCTCTGTACAGATAGGTCAGCAGAAGAAAAAATAGAGGTGACTCACCTAAGCCAACCCAAAGATGGAACCCAGAACAAAATTTATGTCTCCTGTATTGGATTCTACACACTAGAACACTCTTTCTGGATATATTCAAGTTGATTGCTTATTAAATATAAGCCGGTATTTTAAGTCTGCCTCAGTGGAGGTTGTCTCTGGAGTCACGAAGACCTAGGTTTGAGTTCCACTAGCTACACGACCTTGGGCAAATCATTTAATTTCTCTCAACCTCAGTTTCCTAATCTGTAAAATAAAGGAGATAGATTCAATGGCCCCTAAAATCCCTTTCCAACTCTAAGTCTGTGATCCCATGATCTTAAATCATGGTGCAGTAGAAAGAGCAATGACTCTGATAACAGAAAACCTAAGTCCAGATTCTGCCTTTGATGCTTGCTCCCTGTGTGATCTTGGGCAAGTCTCTCAAACTTCTCTGTAAAATGAAGGAACTGAACCAGAGGGCCTCTGAGCTCCTTTCTAGATCTTATTTGTTGTTGTTGTTGTTGTTGTTTATTCATTTCAGTTGTGTCTGGCTTTTTGCAACCCCATTTGGGGTTTTCTTAGTAAAGATACTGGAGTGGTTTACCATTTCCTTCTCCAGCTCATTTTACAGATGAGGAAACTGAGCCAAACAGGGGTAAGTGACTTGCCCAGGATCACACAGCTAGTAAGTGTCTGAGGCCAGATTTTAATTCAGGAAGATGAGTCTTTCTGACTCCAGGCCCACCACTGAACCACCTAGTTGCCCTCTATGATTCTATAAATTATCTCAAAGGGAAACTGAGCTCAATATAAATGCTTAATATTAAAGAGATTTTAAACTACTTACAGTTATCCATGAAAAATTATTGATATAATTTTAGGGAATTCCTAAGACAACCCTTCTCAATTTATTTCCCCTGTGAGTCTTTTGCATAATAGTATTGAAGCTTCCAATTAAGATTTAGCTCTCCTATTCCCTAGGATTGCATAGTAAGCCATGAACACTTCAGTAGATGTTAGTTGGTGAGATTAGCTAATCAGGCTCCTGGGAAAACCATGGAGATCACTATATTATTCTCCAATCTCCTTTTTCAGTGGAGATACTAAAGATCCTCATTCTAGGGTTGTTGAAGATATAGGATTCATCAAAGAAAATCCATTAGGCCTTCAAATCAATTTATGTGATATTAAATTGTGAGGCCACTACTGGTATTTGATACTGTGACCATTTTTTGCTGAATCAAAAAAGGATACAGGGTGCACAGATAAGAGACTGATATAGAATTTACCTCCTCCTTCTATGCTAGGAGAATAAAGAAGAAGACAAGAGACCAGAGAGTTTTTAGAAGAAGGATGTCAAACTTAGAAGTCTCTCTCTGCCATGTTAAAATTCCCTTCCTTCAAAGAGAGCATCCCTTCAAAGAGAAAAAAAAAATTGGGAGATAGCAATTAGCTCTCCTGGGGAGTCTGAGCCCATGACAAGCTGGATTCCACTGCTAAATTGCATACAAGCATTGGGGAAATGCAACAAAATGCAAATCGATTTAGATGAGCTATAATGACCAAGTTTTCCAAATCAAAACTTGGAGTAAATGGTTTGACAAAAGATAACGCTTTTTCAATGGCTTGTTAAAAGTATGGTCTCTATCTTAAAACTGACATTCTACCCCAGCCCCAGGTTAGGGAAGAAGATTTGGAATCAGAGAACCTGGATTCAAATCCTGATTTTGCCACTGTGTGACCTTGAGCAAGTGACTTAACTTTTCTAGGCCTTGGTATTTTCATTTGTTAAATGAGGGGGTCAGACTCTAAATCTTTGATCTCTAGACCACATTTCTTCAAAATGACATTTCCTAGGGATGGTCCCAATTTTCACTAACGTTTGATTTATTGTTGATTGATAGCTAGAAATATACTAGGCATTCTTATGGGTTAGTCTTTGTATATGAAGATCTATGTGTCCTTCATATACACAGCTAATACTACTGCTACATCCATAGGCAAATACTATGATTTCTTTTTCCCTAATAGTAAGATTAGATCTATGCTCATCTATTTTCACCATTTTTCAGCCACCTAAGGATGAGTGATGTACATTTTTAATATGGCTGCCTGGAATTTGGTTTATAGGATCATAAGATCATAGATTGGCACTAGAAGACTTAGAGTCATTTATTTAAAACCTCCTCATTGGGGGCAGATAGGTTGCACAGTGGATAGAGTACTGGCCCTGGAGTCAAGAGGACCTGAGTTCAAATCTGGCCTCAGACCAAACACTTGACACTTACTAGCTGTGTGACCCTGGGCAAGTCACTTAACCCCAATTGCCAAAAAAAAAACAAAAAACCAAGAAAAAAACCATCCTTGTTTTATATTTAAAGAAACTGAATCTCAGCAAAGCAAAATGATTAGCCCCAGGTCATATAGGTGGTATTTTCAAGTTTGTAAAGCATTTTACAAATACAATTCCATTTTATCCACTCAATAACCTTGTGAGGTAGGTGCTATTATCAACCCCATTTTACAGATGAGGTAACTGAGGCAAGCAGAGGTGTAATGACTTGTCCAGAGTCACACAGCTGATTAGTGTCTATGGCAGGATTTGAACTCAGTTTAGATCCTCCTGACTTCAGTTCCTGCACTCTATCCACTGTGCCATTTAACTACCGAGTAAGCGACAAAGTCTATTCAAAACCAGGCCTTGACTCCAAATCCAATACTCCATATATTACACATTACTTCACAAAATTCACTAGGTCTGCCTGGTAATTTAACATCCTGAATACTGTTCTCTAATTACTCTCCCCTTGAGGCCACAGAACAGGTCCAGCTTTTTTCCATCAAGCCACTAACACAGCAGAGAGGTACCTAAGATAAGGAGTATTCTATGTCTTCTGACAATTATTCTTCTCTGCTTACATTGAGGACAGTTGAAAAAGACTAGTCAAATTACTATAGAAATGTTTCCTATTCTGCACTATTCATATGTTTAATGATGTTCTTCTTTGGACTGTTTTTTATTTGTATATCTTTTCTCCCCGGTGAGATTATAAACTCTTTGAGGTCAGGGCTACAGTCACGGCAGGCATTCCATTGTTAGCATCATAGTATTTAGAAGGAGACTTACATAGCATCAAATCAAATTTCATTCTACAATGAAGGAAACTGAGACAAAGGAAGGGTAGCTGACTTGTCTTAGGTTAGGCAGCTAGTGATCAGCAGAGCAAAGAGTTAAGCCCAGGATCTCCAATTCCAAATGCATGGCTTTATCCAGTACACCAAGTGGCTGCTTCAATTCATGTTTGTTTAATTCAGAAAATGCCCTTGACTACAAGAATCATGAGATGTGAAATAATCTAACGGGGGAGGGTGGAGACTTCCTTTGAGATGACTAACTAAGAGGTCTTCTCTCAAATAAATGTATAAATAAGAAGAGAAAGACAGCAACCAGAGAGCCTCAGAAGAGAATAACATGTAAGATGAGGAAAAAAGAAAAGGAAATGAGCAAGCAAAACTAGATTTGGAATAGCGAGCTAGAACTCTATTTATATAGTATACTGGTGGTTGCTAAACCTAGGATCACAAAACACTGAAGAAAATAATCATTATTCCATCAGAATCATTGGGAAGACAGAATGGAAGCTTAATAAAAAAGGGAAAGAGCGGGCAGCTAGATGATGCAGCGGATAGAGCACCAGCCCTGGAGTCAGGATGTTGTGAGTTCAAAGCCGGCCTCAGACACGTAACACTCACTAGTTGTATGACCCTAGGCAAGTCACTTAACCCCAATTGCCTCACCAAAAAAAAAGGGGGGGGGGAAGAGATAGCAACTCATGCAATGCAGTATAATAAATTCCAAATGGATCAATATTCTAATTTTTAAAAATATGTTCAAACGGGAAAACATTGTACACAGTAACAACAACATTGTGCAATGAGCAGTTAGGATAGACTTAGCTCTTCTCAACAATACAATGATCTGAGTCAATTCCAAAAAACTCATGATGGAAAATGCTGTCTATATCCATAGAAAGAACTATGGTGTCTGAATGTAGATTGAAGAATGATAGTTTTCACTTTTTTGAGTAGTTTTTCCCTTTTGTTCTGTTTCTTCTTTCACAACTTGCCTAATTCAGAAATAGTTTAATATGATTGCACATGTATAACTTGTATCAGATTACTTGCTGTCATGGGGAGGAGGAAGGGGAGGGAAGGAAGGAGAAAAAAATGGAACTCAAATCTTATAAAAAATGAATGTTGAAAACTATCTTTACACGTAATTGGAAAAAAATACTATTTACAAAAATATTTTAAATAAAAAAATATGTTCCATAAAATACAGAAGTCAGGGTATCATTATTCTTTCCAAAACTGTGGAAATGAAATAAATGTCTAAGTAGCTGAGACTTGGAGGAAATTTTAAGAGATAATATAGATTAATTATATAAAGATAAAGCTTTTGCACAACAAAAAGTAATGTTTTCAGAATCAGAAAGAAAGAAACTGGAAAAAATATCACATCAAATATATTTGATAAGAACTTCACATCCAAAATATATAAAGAATTGTCATAAATATCCAAGATTGAGTCCTTATCCAATGGGTAAGTAATTAAAGGAAATTGAAAGAAGAAACACACATTTTCAGAAAATTCATGAAAAAGTTCAGAATTTCTAATAGTGAAAAGCAAATTAACATAACTAAAATATCACCCAATACAAATCAAATTGGCAAATAGAAAACAACAAAATTCAGTATTGGTTTAGCTGTAATAAAATAAGATTCATATTACTATACATTAACCATAGAGACATGAACTGGTCCAACTTTTATGGAAAGAAATATAGAATTATAAGAGTTACCAAAAAGTATATACCCTTTATTGCAATGGTCACACTATTGGGAACATGTGTCCCAAGAGGCTACTGGTATGTGGGGGAGCAGGGGGACCAGGGGGAGGGACAGGATTTAGGGACAGAGGAGAGACCTATATGTACAAAATATTCACAGTCATATCATTTGTAATAATCTGAAAGAAAACTCAGTGTTCATTAATTGGGGAATGGCTAGACAAATTATGATAATATTAATGTAATATAATATTACTGTATAATAGGAAATTATAAATATGATAAATATGCTCACATGTTCATCTAAGCCAAACCGAACAATGTACACATTGAAAGCATGTGTAATTAAAGACAAAAATAATAGCAACACATCATGTGTATACAGGAAAGAAGGCCAAAAATGAAGACAAAAACAAGGACTGCATAAAGACTATTTTGTTCAAGTCTATATATACAAATTTTCAGGGTGGAGCTAACTATTTGGGAAATAAAGTTTACATACATGTATAATCATTTGCAATTTCTTGGAGTCTTTGCTTTCATTCTGCATGCTCATTTTTTCTTATTTTCTTATACTATTTAAACAGATGTACTTCTCAATTAAAATTTAAAATAAAATTATACTTTAAAAAAAAAGCAGACAACTTTCTGTCATGATCAGGAAATATGATTCTTCCAAGACCTTTTAAAGCCAAGATCCCAAATATTCCCATTGGTAGGGTTTTTCTTACCATCAATCTTAAGTGAACAAGACATTTCATTTTTGGTTTATGATCTTTGTACTAATATTTTAAAAACAATCCATTGTTTAGCACAGTTTCTTGCACATAGTAGGCCCTTAAAATCCCTTTTTTTTTTTGATGAGGCATTTGGGGTTAAGTGACTTGCCCAGAGTCACACAGCTAGTGAGTGTTATGTGTCTGAGGCCCAATTTGAATTCAGGTCCTCCTGATTCTAAGGCCAGTGCTCTAACCACTGTACCACCTAGCTGCCTCTAAAATCCTTTTTTTTTTTTAACTTGACTTGAATTATGAAATATTTTGGAAACATCAATGGATGTATTTTCGTCGATATGGCAGCTCAGTCCAATAATGCTGATCCTGTCTATATTAACAACAACAAAAAAAAAAAAAAAAACACAGTTCAGAATTTAGGTTAGGTATAGTCGTGTCCCTTATGGATAAAAATAAAAGAAAATCAGCTCATCTTCTTTTTGCAATGATACATCTACTGGGTCATGAAACTAATACCCTCTGTCACATAAAGGGGAAAATAGAGCCCACTGTCTTACCATAAATACTTTCCTAATACCCTAACTGCCCCCTAAGATTTAACTTCCAAATGGAATACAATTTTTATCTAAATTTACTGGGGAAGAAGAAAGACAGAGAATAGGAGATACTATTTTACAACCATAATATTAGAGAGATGGGTACCCTCCCTTCAACCCAGCCAATTGTGACAGGTACCTTAGAAAAGGTGATAGTAGATATCAGAACTAGGAGCTGTTCAGCCTTTCAGCCCCTTCTAGGATGTTTCCAAAATACACAGCCGACACCAAGACTCTTAGCCAGCATTTGTCTCTCCAGAAGGGATGAGTCCAATGAACATTTGTTCATTCCCAATATTACCCTCCAGTTGCCTTCAGAGAAGTCATCTTCATCAACTTCAGAGAAATAACCCTTTTCCCAGTATTCAGTTTCCAGGGTCCTGAGCCAACCACTGGACATATCAACACCATTTCCACTTTCTATCCAAAAAAGAATTCCGTGGAAGCCAAGCAGATATGCCAAAGCCCTTTGACCTCTGGCTCCCTCCTTGGCTCTGATGCAACCTAATCTCTAATCAGAAATTTATTTTTTTTGTTTTCCATTTTATCTCCATAAATGGGGATGGCATAGCATTTTGTGGGTTGTTGGCTAAGAAATACAAAGTAAGTAAGTTTCATTTTTCTTATTTTCTCTATGAAATATTTTGTTCATCATGAAATCTTTATTTTATAGGGTCAGTAGGAACCTAATCTAGAACTATCGCAAGGGGAATGCTTTGTAAATTGCAACTAAAGTAAAGTGAACTTTTATCCTTAGCTCCTCATCTATAGAATGAGATGTTGGACCACATGGTACCTAAGGGGACATCTCTAAATGTGGAAAAGAATTATATCAAAATAGCTTGAGTGGGCCTATGGTGGGTGGGAGGATTCTGTTATTATCACTTTCAGAAATTATCTTATGCTGCAGTGGTTGTAAAACTAAATACTGTATCCCTCATGAAGATACAGTAATTCATGGCAGCATATGAGACAATAGGGTCAGTCTCTGGGAAGTTCCCTCTTACTTCCTTTGTCAGAGACAGGGAGAGGTCTTTGCGCTTGAGTTTGTGGTGAAGGATATTAGTGAAGAGAAAGGAGTCTTTCCCACCTAAGCAGAGTCAATTTTATTCCTTCCCTTGGTGAAATAGCTATGGGAAGAAGGTTGTTTTTTTGTTTTATTTTGTTTTGTTTTATCTTGTCTTGCTTTTTCCCTCCACAGAGAGGAAGGGGTAATGGGTATCTTTGCCAAACTCATGACTACACAGAATGGATAGCCAAGTTGGAATTTTTACCAGAGACCAAGAGCAGGCCAAGTCAATGATGAGTAGAGTCTGAGGAAAGCCAAGACAATTTGGAGGTTCCTTCAAACTGGAGTCTGGAGGCGTGACTTCAAACTACTTAAAATGAGATAAGCTGCAGACCAGTGGTGCACAGGTAGATAAGCAGACAAAGCAGGAAATCCTAGATACAGGACAGCTCTTCTCTGAAGTCTTCAGTTTGAGAATCATTCGGAATTACACCAAGTCTACTTCTTCCCTGTTGAAGGGTAAGTGTTTTGGAAGAGTTGTTTCCCAAGCTATTTGGAGGGAAGGGAGTGGTAGAAGGATAACATCTTTTTTTGAGAATACATACATGCATTGTTTCCATTACTTTATCACTTACTATTACTTCAATTACATATTTTACTGTCCCTTGCTCCAATGATATTCAGAGATCTTAGGTTTAGATCTAGAAAGAACCCCAGAGACCATCTAGTTAGTCCACACTCCTCATTTTGAAGATAAGGAGCCTAGGCACAGAGGAATTAAAATGATTTGCCCGAAGGTCACAGAGTTACAGAGTAACAGGTCTGGGATTCAAACTCAGATTCTCTGACTCCAAACCCAGTGCCCCTTCCACTGCACAACATTTCCTAACGTTGTTCCTTGTCAGCATTTGTTAGCATGCTAAACAACTGAATATCTGACTTCCAATTATTTCCAAAGATTACATTGGATGGGGGTGAGGGAAGATACCAATATCCTAACACTCTGAACCCCCATTGGTGAGGGTTTGCAGTTCAGTGGGTACAGAGTATGGCACCTATGTGGCCCCAAGAAGAAACCCTGGGATCCTCGTGAGTAAAAACGCAATGCAGAAGGGTAGAAGTAAAAGAGCTGGCACACCTAGACATGGGCAAAAGCAGCAAAGCAGTGACTTTAAGCAGGCCCACTATTGGCAGTCCAATACTCAGAGGAGGCTTCAGAGACCATGCTTGAACATAGGATAAAGGGTATTTACTCTCTCTTCTCTTTTAGATTTCCGGCTCGTTGTAGGCAACTCCTTGAGTCTATAAGGAGAGTTAAAGGTCCACAGGTGCACTTTGGCTGTATTTATACATTTATTTGTATACTCAGTCATTCAATCATTCAGTCAGTCATCTATCCAAACTTTTCTGTCATTCATCCAGCAATTATTAAAAGCCTACTTTGCCCCAGGAACTATGTGAGACATTGGGAATACAATGACAAAAGCAAAATAGTCCTTACCCTCAAGGAGTTCTTGGAGGGAAAGGATGGGGAGGAACTTCAGGAGGTGTGGGAAGAACAACAGGTACACAGATAAGCAAATATAACATATACAAAGTGGGGAGATTGGGAAATGGCCCTTGAGAGGAGACTTGAAGGGAGTCAAGAATTCTGGAAGTGTCCATGCAGAGGTAAAAAGGGAATGCATTCTAGGCACAGAAACAGGGTGAGCAAAGGTAAGGAGGTGGGATATAGAATTCATGTATGGGGAACTATAGTACATAGGCCAGTTTGGTTGGAACATATGATGCATAATATGAAATCAATTTGGAAAGAAAAGTTGGAGCCAGACTGTAAAAGGCTATAAATATCCATCAAAGGAGTTTGAATTTTTGGCTAGAAGGAATCAGGAGCCAATGGAGCTTCTACAGCAGGGGCAGGGAACCTGCAGCTTCTAGGCCACATGTGGTCCTCTAGGTCCTCAAGTGTGGCCTTTTGACTGAATCCAAACTTCACAGAACAAATCCCCTCAATAAAAGGATTTGTTCTGTAAAACTTGGGTCTCAGTCAAAAGGCCACACTCAAGGACCTAGAAGGCCACATGTGGCCTCAAGGTCATAGATTCCCCACCCCTGTTCTAGAGCATGGGAGTGACCTGGTCAGACCTGTACTTTAAGAATATTGGTTTGGCACCTGGGTGGTAGAGATATTGGAGAGGGGAAATACTGGAGGTAAGGAGACTGAGTAAAAGGCAGCCAAGTGAGTGGAGAGAAAAAGAGATTTGAGAGAGATATTGTGGGGGTAGAATAGAGGAACAAAAGAATGCAATTGGATAGAGAGTTGGGTGGTTTGTTTGAATGATGGATTGATTGGATATTTCGCCCTTCTAATCTGTTCTGCCAGTTATTACAAAACTAATTACCCTAAAATGGCACTTTTATCAGGTCACTCTCTTCCTCAAAAACCAAAATGGCTCCCAATCAAATCAAATCCAACCTCCTCATCTTTGTCCCCGAAGCACTCCATAGCTCTGCTATAACCTCATTCCCCACTGTTTTCTAGAAAACTGCTGATTGGAGCATGAAGTGATACATGCATCGTCATTTATAAAGAGAGTTGGAGTAGAATAGAAAGATCAATAAATGTAGAGTCAAAGGAAGGGAAGGACCTGGGTTCAAATCCTCCCTCTGGTACTTCCTAATGATAAGACCTTAAGCAAGTCATTTAAAATCTCTGGGCTCCAATTTCCTCATTTATAAAATAGGGGAGTTGATCTAGATGACTTTGAAGATTCTCTCTGGCCCTCTATGATCTGGACAGGTCATTTAGCCTCTCTGAGTCTCACTTTCCTTATTGATAAAATAAGCAAGTTGAACTAGACAGCCTTTAAGGTCCCTACAGATTCTGAATATAATATTATCCTAAGGGCCAATCCTGGGATCTGGATCCTGACCTTCATGTATCCAAGGCCATCATTTTATCCAGTGTACCATAAGGCCTCTGATTTTGTATTTGTCTTATTTTTTCAAAATGAGCGTTAGCCCCTTAAGGGCAGGAAGTATCTTAAACAGCTTTTGTACCCCTGTAACGGCTAGAATAATACTGTGTATAAGGTAGGCATCCAAAAGTTCTCAATGGATTGAATGATACAAAGAGTACCCTCAAGTTTCCTCTTCTTTTACCTCTCCTAGATAGAGGCATATAATCTGGATGGTTCATTTCCCTATAGGACCCTAAGATCTCTCCTAATTACTTTAAGTTTTTAATCATATCCCAAGGGCAAGTAGGGGGTGCAGTGGGTAAAATGCCAGGTCTAGAGTCAGGAAGACATGAGTTCAAATCTTCCCTCACTCATTTACTAGCTGTATGACTCTGGGCAAGTCACTTATCCTGTTTGCCTCAGTTTCCTCATATGCAAAATGAGCTGGAGAAGGGACTGACAAACCACTCCAATGTCTTTGCCAAGAAAATCTCAAATAAGATCCCAAAGAGTCAGCTATGATTGAAACAACAAAATCACATCCTAGTAGCCCTTTCATCAAAACTATAAACTAAATAAATGCCTGGACTCAGCAACTAAATATTTTAAATGCTCAGACTTAAAAAGCAATAGACCCCAGGAACCCCTAACCTGGCAGATCAGATAGCATGCATCACAAGCAAAGGCTGCCCACGTCATGGCCATTATAAGTTTGGTAGCATTGTTCCTTGTTGGGCCAGGTCCAATTGTGAAATACCCAATGAGATTCCTCTTGGAGAAATTGGCCCTAGCCAGGCTGCTGAAAATGTCAGGAGTCCCTCCTGTCCCTAGCACATGTAGTTACTTCCAGTTCCAAATCTGTGCTCCATTCACTCCTTCCAGAAAAAAAAAAAGCCATCATTCAGAATGAGAGCAAGCAAAACAGGACTGAGCTGGAGAATGAATAACTTCAGACTCCTTATGCTTCCTTTAAGCCCAGACAAGGTTGATCTCAGGTTCAGATCTCAGGCAGGACATGGCTATGGAGCAGGAAAAGTGTCCATAGGGCAGTAAGGGTTTTGAACTGAGTTTTAAAGGAATCCAGGGATATCAATAATTGGAGATCAGGAAGGATTGCATTCCATTCCATGGAAGGGGAACAGTCAGTGCAAAGGAAGACAGAGAGAGATTGTGTCATGTAGGAGGAAGAGCAGGTAATCCAGTATGACCAGTCATAGAGTGTGCAGAGAGGAGTAGTACATGAGAAGATTGGAAAGGTAAGAAGGGGCTAGGTCATGAAGAACTTTAAATGCCAAACAACTGACTTTTTATATTTGATCTTGAAGGTAATAGGGAGACGTTGAAGAATATTGAGCAGAGGAGTGATCTGGTCAGGTCTGTGCTTTAAGAAAATGACGTCAGGGGGCAACTATGTGGCGCAGTGGATAGAGCACCATCCTAAAGTCAGGAGGACCTGAGTTCAAATCTGGCCTCAGACCAAATACGTGACGCTTACTAGCTGTGTGACCTTGGGCAAGTGACTTAACCCCAATTGCCTTAAAAAAAAAAAAAGAAAAGAGAAGAAAATGACTTTGACTATTTTGAATGGAGGATGGATTGAGTGGGATGAGGCTTGAGACCAAGGAGGAGGCTACTGGAATACAGGAAGGCCTTCCTAGTATCCCTGGGAACCATTGTGTAGGCAACCGACTACTCTATTAACTCCTAAAGTCAGCCTTGTCATTCCTGCTGCTGGTGTAGTTCTCTCTGTGTGAGGATTTGGCTCCAGAGAAGACTACATGACCATCACTAATGCACATACAATTATTATCTGCCTCTCTGACACAGCAGCAAAGAACACATCTCAAGTGGTGGTGAGTAGTCGTTTGCCTCCTAACTCAAAGACAAGAAGAAATGGACTGCAAGTGACCTTACCCTTTTAATCCTCAAAGTGGGGTACCCTTAACCCCAAAGTGGAGGTTCAACCTTGCACCAGATTCTGGAACCAATCCAATCCCCAGACAGGGGGAATATAGGAGTCCTGGGGCAGCAGTTCACTGTCACAGCAACAACTTAGCCTATTTGTTGGTACAGCTCCTAGCTCATATCCTAGATCCTAGTGAGGTGGTACAGGGAATAGAGCAATGGACTTGGACTTAAGAAGCCTTGAGTTCAAATTCTGCCTCAGACAACGTGACCCTGTGAAAGTCATTCGACGTATCTTCACCTAAATTTCCTCATCTGTAAAAGGGGGATATAATAATAGCACTTTTCTCCCAGGGTTGTGAGGATCAAACAAGATTGTGTGTGTATACATATATATGTATATAAATATATACATATATATATAAGCATATTGCAAACCTTAGAGCAGAACAGAAATACTAATTATATTTTTTTATTATTATTCTCCAGGAATGTACCCTAACTGACAGATGGAAATCACAGACAAATTTGCTGCTAGTATGAGCTTTTGAAGCATGGGTCTAATTTCAAAAATGATGTAATATAAAAAGGGAAAATAGTCACTTGGAAAGTCTTCTGACCATTACCATAGTTTAAGGAATAGGAATGAATTTTGTTTTTACGCTGTTTTCTATAATGCAAAACCCCAGATATTGAATTGCCACCAAGTGACAGTTTATAAGGTATTGTGGGTCCAAACGAAAGGACACTTTTCCTTTAAAAAAATGACAATCTGCCATAGCAAGGGGATAATGTTCTTTATCTTACTATTATTATAGGGGAAGAAAAAAAAAAGAAGCAATCTGAAGTACAATTAATGTCTGTCCTCCAAAGGCTGGAAGTCATCAGGAATGGAAGTCCTGGTAGATGAATTCACTACCACAGAGTTGCTGTTTTCTGTCTCAGAGGTTAAGAGAGGGATGGATTCATCCAACTCCTGGAGTAGAGAGCTGAGAAAAACCACAAAAATGTCTTCAGAAGCAGCAACCTCAGAAGAGTCAAGTAGGAATTAGAGTAAATAAGCCTGTGGTTGGCATCACCATCCAAAGACAAAAAACAAGGAATAGCAAACAAGTGCTTCAGTTAACGAAGGAACGGATGAGCACTAAGAATTAACAATGACAGGGATGACTACAATGAAAAAGTCCTTAACTTAGCAATGAAGTTCTTCTATCTTATTGTTAATAATAAGTCATAGATAGGACCTGGGATTTTCACATCTTACATGTTGGGTCCCCAGAAAAGCTACACCAAGTTTGAAACAGGCTAGATCAATTCAAAACAATAGTTATTGAGCCCCTACCAGTGTGTGTATTTTTAACAGCCAGACAGAGGGTACATTAGCTCAAAAGAAAAGATATTTTATCAAACAAAATAATAAATAAAGTTATAAGCATAGATCAGAGTGTATATGTAGGGCACAGTCTTTCATAAATTATCACACCGAACTCTGCTAGTCTCATTTTGGTTTCATCTCTTCAAGTCCATTTATTGATATCCTGTTACCAGCTATTAAGTTGTGGTGACTAGAACATCTCTCCCTGACAGCAGCTGAGTTCTTTTAGTTCATAAGAGAGGCTTTGAGGTACCACACCTACTAGGAACAACCAACCTAAAGTTAGCCAGAATGCTCTCAGTCTATGATTAAATCAATTGTATTAACTGACTGTGTCTGGAACCAATCCAAAGTCCATGGTCAGAAACAACTATCTTAATTAAGGTTAGAAAAGTCCTTGGAAATTCTATCAAATGTCTAGTATCTTGTGCTTACACATACACACACACACACACAGACACACACACACACACACACACACACACACCTAAAAAAGAAGCATTTTGATGACTGTGTGAAAAAAAATCATGCGCAGTATAGATGCTGGGCCACCCATTCCATCAGAAATCAAAAACCAAAAATATCCATAGTTACATTCTGTGGAAATGGTTGCAGAGTTCTTATCTGTAGAATTCACCTAAGTCATTAAGACATCAGTAGGATATAAAATTCTTGAAGGTGGGTATTACTTTGTTTTTATCTTGCACTTTAAGACAATACCTGCTATTTAATAGATGCTAATTGAATTAAACTGAAGTAAAACCTAAGGATTTTGATAGGTGAAGAAACTGAGGTACTACATATTAAGCTTGTTTAATTTACCTGAGCATACACCTGGTAAGCTCATGATTAGAATTCAAGTCCTGGTGCAGTGGATAGAGTGCTGGGCCTAGAGGCAGGAAGATTCATCTTCGTGAATTCAAATCTGACTCCAAACACTTACTAGCTGTGTGAGCCTGGGCAAGTCACTTAACCCTATTTGCCTCAGTTTCCTCATCTGTAAAATGAGTTGGAGAAGGAAATGGCAAACCACTCCAGTATCTTTGCCAAGAAAACCCCAAATAGGGTCACAAAGTGTCTGAAAGGACTGAAAACAACTGAAAAACAACAATAACCTGTACTTCTGTGCTTACTGTAGTAGGGGATGGATCTGCCTTTCAAGCTGATAAACACATGGCAAGAGGAAATGAGCTAGACCCGGTCAGAAAGAAGGAACAGGATGCCCAGGTCCTGCTGAGACCCCTGCTTATTTTCTTCACAGATGCATGAGAAATCTTGGCTTTTTTATGTCTCTCCCCTAGCTGTTGCTCCCTGAGACTAACAAAGGCTTCATAGAAAAGAGGCAGGTTTTGTCACTCAAGCAGATTTGGTTGACCTCTTATTTCTGATGTCACAGGTGGAGAGCTGTTAAATATTGGCTAATATGGGAGACCTAAGAGACCTCAAAATAAATAATGGGCACAAACACATGGCATGGAACTTTACAGAAAAGAGAAGGAAAAGGGGGCAAGCCCAGTGTCAAGAGACAGCCTTACAGTACTCAGAGAAGCCCATAAACTTCAAGGTTTTGTTATGCAGGTTTAATGCATTTCACACCAAATTAATCTGTATCTCTGTCCCTAGAGACACCTGGATCATAAAAGATATTCTTCCTTGTTTATCTCCAGTTTCAAAGTTATGTGCATGGGTGGGGGGGGGTACATCTTAGTGGTCATAGAGTCTAACCCTCTCATTTTACAGCTTAGGTAACTGAGGATGAGAGACTTGTCCAGCATCACACCACTAATTAGTACCTAAGGTAGGATTTGAACTTAGTTCTTTCTGACTCCAAGTCCAGTATTCTTGAAATTTGACAACTTAGATGGTCAGTGAAGGAGGAGACACTTCTGCAGTCACTGCTAAAAAACACCTGAGATTCCTAGCACACACAATCATTGCCTGACGTCCCCAATACATCAATACATATATTAGAGCTAAGAGAATAGGATAAAGGGTAGAATAGTCCTTGCTATTTCCACCCTCCCCCCCAACCAGGGCACCCATAGGTGGCTTCTCTTCTCTGTAGTCACTGCCTTTGATATTTCTTTTCAGCTGACCCAGGGTCATCTCTACCCCAAAATAGTCATCAAAAGAGGACCTAAGTGGAGGGATAATAATAGCCAATATTCATACACATTATGTACTTTCTGAGGTACATTAAATGGAATAACCTTCCTTAGTGAGTCAGACTTGGCCTTTCAAGTGTTTTTCATACCCTTTAGCCCTTATCATCCAAAAGTTTATTAAGCACTTAGCTACACAAAACACTGTACAAACAGTCAGCCTTTGATGAGTACATTGAAGAGAGCACTGTGCTGAGAAGGACCTCATTTTGCTAGTACTTTAAATGGGGATTCTGGTATCTGGAGAAAATTTAGTCAGGACAGAAGAAGACAGAGCTCCTCAGGATACCAAGTGGATATATACCAGCTTTGCAGCTGGTCTCTGGTATCCTTGGATGGCAAGGGCCCTCAGAGCAGAGGGCACAGTAGCAATACAACTTGGTTAGGAGTCGTCATGTCAGTGATGGCAATAGGACACTCAGAAAGTGGCAGCCAAAGACAGGCAAGGCAGAGAGAGCAAGGTATCAACATAGAAGCTGGAGTGTACTTCTTTCCTATAGAGTTCCTCCATGCCTTGGAGTTTTCTGCTAGTTCCATGCTCTTGCCACACACTGTAATTGAAGTGTTGGGACAGCTCTTCACCAGATTAAACCCATATGGACAAAGATAAATCTATCTGAATTCATTCTTCAGTGGTTAACATACTCCCAACCATGCAGAATCCCAGCGATTCTGAACCCCTAGCTGCCATTGTTCCAACCAGATTCTTAGTGGTCCCCCACTGGCCACTTCCTTATTCCCCATCCCATTGAACCTAAAACCACCAATGTCTGCTACCCATCCCTTCTACTGCTCTCTCTGAAATTCGTATTCTGCAGGTAACAAACTAGCTTTCATCTTTACTCTCTCCTTTCTCACTTCTTCCATCTTCTTACACTCACTGAGACCTAGGTTCTCTCCTGATGACATAGCTTCCCTGTCCACCCTTCCCAGTACTGGTTGCACTTTCACTAATACCCCCCAACCCTCTGGTTGTAATAGAGAAGTTATATCCTTAGATCCAAGTTATCCCTTGTTGACAGACTGACTGACAAATGCCACTGGGAGGAAGTACAGCCCTCTGGGTATCAGCATCCAGTTAGAATGAAGTTTTCCTACACGAAGCATCCTGGGACAAAGACCCAATTGCCCATGTTAGTTTTAGTTCTAAATTTCAATCTATTCCATGGGAACTAATTGTACCCTTAATCTCCAGTCAATCAGCTAGCAATTGACCACTATATGGGGACTTTGGGAGAGAGTGTTGGAGTTCACAAGGGACTTGTCGCAGTTACATTCAATCGGGAGCACTGGAAAGAACATTGGCTCTAGAATCTGAAGATCCAGGTTCAAATCCCAGCTCTAATATTTATTAGTTAAGTGACCCTGGGAAAATGTCTTAATTTCCCTGTGCCTTAGTTTCTTCATCTAAAAAGTAGATATAATAAAGTTTATATTTTGTACCTCCTAAGACATTGAAAATCACATTGTCAGCTGTAAAATACCACTGGAACTAAAGAATTATTTCAACTTGAGTTATTATTAACTTCCATTAGCCATTCATACAAGCACACAATCATAAAAAGTATTTCAGTAGCCTCACGAGAGCTCAGCATCTAAGACAACAAAAAAGTAGATCAATTAATCACTCAATAAGTACTTATTAAGCACTTTCTATATTCTAGAGTCACAATGATATATTACAAATAAATAAATGAGCATTTACTAAATGTTTACTATGTGCCAAGTATTGGGTTAATCTCCAATGATAAAATCTATTAAACAAAAAGCTTGCAAACTAAGAGAGGGAGATAACACATATAAGCAAGTGATGGCCAGGAAGAGATATTTTGGTTTGGGAAGTCTTAGAGATAGAGTCAGAGAGGAATAGGTTGGCACACCCTTTCCAGTAGAAATGGCAGCATTGATTTGATTTGGTTGGAGAATAAAAAAGTGGGGGTGAGTTGGGGGACAGGGGTGCTAGATGATGGAGATATGTAAGTATTGGCAAGGCAGCTGGAAAGAAGATAGAGAATTATTTAAAGCATGTCTGGAGCTGTCTTAGCTATGGAGGCATTCGCCAATCAATTAGGAAAATGAGGAACCCAGGATGAAAGTCCTGAGTAAATGAACAGTGAACTGCTCTTGTAGTATGGAGAAAAGGCTGGTTTTTCTGGCCTAATCTTTCTCAGTCTACTCTTTAGAGAGGCTTTGTTTATCCACCTTATACTTCCCCACAATTTTTCCCAGTGCTTTCTCTGGCACCGTCCTCCCCAGCTCACCCCTACCCACCTACTTGGAGCTATCCAGTCAAGAAATGTAATTTCCTAGCAGATTTGTGTCAATTACAGACAGTTCTCACTTTACCTAAATGTTCTGCAGACCTCTACATAAAGCAATTTTTGCAATGGGAATTTGCCTGCAGAGGTGGGGAAAGGAGAGAGAGAGGTGGGAAGTGGCCCACAGCTCCCATCGTGGGAGGGGGTTGGTGTCAGGGGACAGGAAAGCTAGTCAGAAGAACATTCAGAGGGTCAGGGCCAGCCACATGCGATCTGACCAAAACCAAAAGGAAGAACACAGGACAGACAGGTGGGAGGTGGGGACAAACAGGCAATACCTAAACTTGGATGGACAGAAGACAGATGCATGTGGCGGACAGGTAGGTGGGTGGGCAAAGCAGAGCAAAGGTCTCCTTTCTCAGCAGCAGCGGTCACTCTGCTCATTCATTCTTCTGCTTTCACTTAGAGGGAGCATTTCTGTATTTGGCGTGTTTTTTAGGACTTTTTTTTTGGTAGGGAAGAGAGGTGGGAGGCTGTCTCAAAGTCAAGGGTCAGGATCAGTGAGAGAAAGCACAGTACTATACAGTAAAGTTAACATAGGTGGGATTTTTTTAATGCAGATTTCTTTAAGAATTCTTTACATAAAGTCAAATTTGCATAATGCAAAT